AGAGCATCTGTACATTGACACACCAAATACCACACACTAGTAACTTAGGACCTAAGTTCAAGAAAGCTAAGAAATTTGTCTGGAGTCACCCAGCTAATTTGTTGAACAGTTACAATATAAAACCCTTTTTCATTATCAAGACCCAATCTTAACCATTGTAATATTTCCTAGAGTAAGTTCTGTATCCTTGAAGCCCTTCCTTTCCTAAAAATGAAGAAATGGTTCTGAGGTCAAAAAGTCAACGGGTAGTTATCTACATTAATGAGACCTTGAAATAATCTCTGAAGTTCACTACAGAAAAAGAATATGAACTAGATGAGTAGTAAGCTTTCTTCCAATCAAAATGTAATATGTGAAAATGTGTATCAGAAACAGTACTTTTTTAAAATATTTTTTATTTTTCTAAGAATATATCCCTCTTTAATTTCTTTTACTAAACTGGAATATGTGTTATGTCTTCCTGTACTTGATCTCTTAACAAAAACCAGGTCACATGGTCCCTACATAAACAAAGTAGCAATAACCGAGGACATATAAACTTTAAGTGACCTGAGATGAGTATTTTTTTAAAATAAGTATAATTATCAAAATTCTATGAATGCCAACATGTACTGATGTAAATGTAGCAGAAATCCTAAAGAAAGTGAAACATAAATAAAATACATGTACAGGGTTATGTGGGTACATTTAAGTATAGTTATAGATAACTTTGAAATAATTTGTGCATATTTTTTCTGCTGTTTTAAAGCATTCGGCATATACAAAGAAACTGAGATACTTTTAAGCAATCACTATTTTGGCTAGCTTTTGTATTAAATAGTTCAGTTTAGCAAATTAAGTATTGGCAAAGCCCAATTAAACCTGAGTGATTTCTTAGTCATGAAAGTATCACAGAAGGACAGAACTGGACTTTTTGTGCTGAATCCAATGTAATATATATTAACGTTGATTTACTGCAGTGCATATGAATGTTATCATGCAATGTTACTTCGACAGTTTTTTTTAATTGCAAAAAGGTCATTGTATTAGTTTTTAGTAAACAACTGGTAAGTTTATATACAAAAAGATCATAATGCAATAATTTCTAAGTCTGAAGTGCATTGTTAGCAAAAAGACTGACATTATAGCTAGTTAAGACAGAAAGAATGCTCACATAACTAAGGGGTAGGTTTCGCTAAAATAATTTTAGGATTACTTCTTCTAAAGACATACATGTTACAAGTTGACAATAACATGACTTCTGTCTTACCTTCCCTGGTTTGATCTCAATGGGAATTAAACATTTTATATGACCTGCTGTACAGGTTGTGTTGCCAGATACAGAGAGGAGCTCATCCATCAGGTTCACACCCTCTTTCTGGAGCACAGTGGCTGTTTTGTTAAATGAGACACGCCAAGAGACTATGACATCTTCAAAGGCCCTAGGGACAAAGAGAGTGCATGCAAACAAAGTGAAAGATTGCAGCATCCTAAAACTACTGCTGAATGTGCTGTCACAGGGTATAAGTATAGCTCACTCTCCAAAGTCTAACTCTACCACTGATATGCAGAAAGTGATCAATTCCCCTCGTTACAGGTGACAAATTAGAGCCTGAGTTTACACAGCATTCTTTAACCACACATTTAAATAAGTTTCATTGTATTTCTGTATCAGGAATGTGAAAACAGTAATATTTTTCCATCTGCTACATCTTCTTGAGCCAGAGCTATGGCAACAAAATTATATGAAGCCCTGATTTCAAGTAAACGCTCCTCATTTCTTTTAAAAAGAATTCTTCTAAAGGAAATCCATGACTTCTAAAATTCGTTATTATAAAAATTAATGACAAAAGATGACCTATATTTTCAGAGAATATTTAGGTTCAAAATGGAAAAGACTATACATCCATGTGTGTGTGTGTACCAAAGGTTACATGGGATGCACACTGAGAGGATGCCTAGCAAACAATATTAAGTTGCAAACATCTGGTATTCCAAATCTCCCTACCAGTAAGAAGCTGTGCAGGTGGAGTTACAGAATATAGATCAGTAAATACTATCAAATGATGACTCACATAATCTGACATCTCTCTAGTACTCTACGAAGCCCAAAATGTCCAAGGTAGCTGTAAGTAGTTTTGACCATAAACCAACAATGTTAAATAACTGATGAAGTACCAGAGCATCTGTACATTGACACACCAAATACCACACAGCCTGTTTCATTTTACAGAATTTAAATCATATACTGTAGTTTCCAGGATATTATACCTTCCATACCTACATATAAACATACCTGTTTGACTGCCTTGTGACAGCAAGATGCAATCTGCTCACACCAGCTCCTTCACCCAGTCTTAGTCCACTCTGGGAATCCTCACTGAATCCTATAATGCCATTATGAAGGTCACTCCCTGACAAGAAAAATGGAGGGTTCTATTTAAGACAAAAAAATCTCCAGTGCCTCAGTCATCATTCCAGCTAAGATAGCATACAAGTGAGAAATTCACAAATGAGAAATTCACAAGTGAGAGGGGAGTGGTAGTTTTAAAGGACTTTCTTGAAAAATGAAATCAAGGAGGGAAATAGTTTGAGAACAGAAAACTAGAATAAAGAAAGCATGAAACCCTACTCTTCACACTGACTGACACAAAACTCTGGTGAGACTGTATTTGATCATCTTGACATATTTATCTATTTATTTTTTAAACTTAGTATATCCCCCACAGAATGTCAGTTCTACTAGGGCATCCAGACAATGGGAACTCAAGGCTACTGACATGCTAATACTGATGTCACTGTTAGGATTCAGTCACTGGTCATGTGTGTGTAATGCATGTATCACATGTAGGGAATGTAAGCACGAGAGAACTTTATCATGCTCAGTTAAGTGGTGCTTTGGCATGCCAAACTGATATGATTTGGTCAGCCATTTTGACTGAGGAACACTTCTTTCTGGTGCTCAGCTGCTATCCTGAGCCCCAAAGAAGCCTCTGCCACCATCCAAACAAAGACCACAAGATCTCATGATCCAGGAACTAGAGGGGTAATGGGTAAGACAGCCATGCACCTCCAGTAACCCACTCATTGGTCTGTTCCTGTAAACCTAGTATCTAAGTATTTTAACTATCAGGTCTGATCATATTCAAGTAACTATACTAAAATATCTATGTCATGGCGGGGAGAATGTTGAGTACAGAAGTGTTAACAGGAACATAGGTGACAGTAAACGAATGTCAATCCAAGTAAATAACTTGTAGCATATAACTTTAATTTACAATACTCACTGACCCACAGGAGTAGGAATAAATGACACTGGGTAGAACTGTCGTAAATCTGTAGGTTACCGAATGGGGTGATGCTAGGGAGGAAAAGTCTGTATGCAACTAAAAATTATGACTGACTTTTAACTGAATGGCAAAGCAAAAATTCTAGGAGACATCAAATGCTATGGGGATAATGATGATGTTCTAGTATTTGTCTTTTATAAAAGAGAAGCATAAACCATGAGTTAGTATTTCAAGCAAAGTCTCTCCTAATTGATCTGGACCAAAACTTTTAGGCATCTTGACTTGTAATATCTTCTCACTATATTTTTATCATAGTGTCATCTGAAATTAAAACAGTGTATAAAATTAATAAACACTTGGATAAAAGAGCAAAGAGGGTAAGAAGCATGAGATGGTCTTATTAATACTATGATTTGTATAAGACATTGTCAAATTGAGGTAATCCACCTAAACACATACCTTGAATAATAATCATGGTAAAAGCTGAAAGTCCACCATCATCTCTCCCCTTCACAGTATATGCTCCCTCTTGAAGTTCTGTGAGAAACACGTAGAAGAACTCCTGGCCCTCAGGTTCATCGTCATCTAAAATTCGAACCAATACTTTATGTTCTCTGTCTCCATCTACAAATGGAAGGATGAAAGTTTGTTCTTCAAAGTCTTCTTCCTCAAGTGCCCACGTTAGATTGGCAATTCCATAGCTACTCGGAGAGGGGAACACATTTGGCTCCCTCTGAGCAGATCTTCCACCAAAAGTCTTAACTGATACACTGATGTTGCCAGTACAACTTCCAGTTCTTCGAACAAAAACTTCTGCAGTATTCAGCGTGCCATTCTTTATCTCCTCTTCAGTGTAAACAACGGATGGCCAAAGACTAAACATCCCATAAATGGAAACGTTGGCAGTGACAGTGGCCACATCAGGCTTCTCAGACACAGAAGGTGCACTAGGAAGAGTGCCGAGTTCCATAGGGACAGCAGTTATACCACTTGCATCGGTAACAACGGTAACCATTTCTGTTGACAGTAGAGTGATAGCTAAACTGGTTGTGCCAGACTGTGTGGAGGACGGGCCGGTTTCCAGAGGCGTGAGAGTTGTGTCATCTGCTATAGCCACAGTTGTCTGGGGGGAAGAAACATCCAATCCCACCAGGTCATCATCATCCAGTATTGTGATCACTGCTACACTGAAATCTAGATTCAGGCGTGGCCTCCAGTCAGCATCAAAGTGTTGCACTCCTTTCATTTCTACAGAAGTTAGATTGATGTAAAAAGTTTCTTCCATCTCAGGAAGTTCATCATCAATAATGACTATTTCAAAATCAGCCTCAGCTTGTAATTTTTGAAAAAGCAGTTCCTTATTCTGAACAGTCTGAAAGTCTTCCTGTGGCTTTGCACTTCCTGCAGTTGTCTGATAGGAAACTTGAATGAGATCACCGTGAAATCCAAACAGTCTTTGCACATGTAATCTGATCACCTGTGCATTCTCTGATACTATGATATTTCTTGAACTAGGGGAAAATTCAAAGATTCCCATTGGTTCAATTTCTGCAGCAGTGAAACCTGATCTGGAAATTTTAAAAAAGGGTGAAAGAATGGATGAGAAAATAGAAACACAATGTAGATACTCACCTTTCACATCTTTTTAAGGTACTGCTCATGACAGCATCTAAAAATGGCATGCCCCTTCAAATCTCCTAACACCATAATTACTTATTCAGAACATAAAAATGTAAGAACAGAAGCTGCAGCAATGGGCTTGAAAGTAAGAAGTACAGAGATTTTTGGTCTGTTTCTCCAGTTACCCCACAGCAGCACTCCAGAAATATGAAACCTTGTAATCCACATGCAGGACCCCAAAACTTCTGAAGATGTTCTGGTGTCAGCCAGTAGAAATAGCTGCCCTTACTGGGAGTAACATGCTTGCTACCTGCAACTGGCCAGTCCTGAGGCTATTCTTTCACACAAATGCGCTGGTTGAGAACAGGGTTGGTCTTACCTCAGCTGAGCCCCGCCGGGGGTGCTGCTCTGCACCTGAGAGAGATGGACAGGGAAGGCCTCAGGTCGGCCGGGGAAGGGCAGTGTCCACAACCAAACTCCTTTACTTTGTTCTCCGTGGGAAAAAGAAAGGCTCCCTGGAAGGCAACATGAAAAGGAAGCAGAGAAGCTTCTCTCAGTTCTTAGATGTGATCCAACTCTTAAAATAGCAGTGAGGCCCTCCTTGGTGGCACAACGGGTTAGGACGCAGCACTGCAAGCTGGCTGCAGCCCCTTCAGTGCGAGTTCAATCCCCTGCCCCAGAGGTGACCCACATGGCGCAGCAGACTTCTCCTGACCCGTCTGCTTCTCCCTTCAGTAGTGCACTTCATCGATCTGCCTGTTCTGCTACCCACTCTTTCTGGTGAATCTTCTCACTGCCCCTGCACTTCTGACCTGTACCCCAGTTTGGTATGCATAACTAAATAAATCTTTTTTTAAAAAAGGTAGTGAAAGTTTCTTTTCCAAAATTCTAACACAATCCACAAAAAGTAAAAGATTAAAAAAAAAAAAAACGCAGGGAGGGAGCTAAATAGATCGTCCCTACAGCACACAAAACTGCCTTTAATTCCTGCCCATTCTTCTCATTAATCCCTTTTGCTCCTGGGTCAAGTTGTCAACTAGAAAATCAAGTAATGGGAAGAGAATAGTACTTGGAAAACTTTGATGTGTGACCACTGAGGGACTTTGGTTTAAATTCTGGCCTTAGTGTGCTTTTAAACACATATTTTGAGTTATTTGGCATTGCATCATTGAGATTTTGCCATACTTCAGGAAAAATTTTGGGAAGTGGCAGACACGTTCAGTGCCCTGTGGTGATGGTACCACAGGTGTAAAAAGCACCACATTTATCAAAATATATACATTAAAGTATGCCAAGTTTTGTATGTCAGTTAACCCCCAATAATTTGCTTCAGAAAAAATATCACAAATAAGGCAGAATAAAACAACTGTCCAATTGGCTCAGTTGATGCACATTTATTGTACTGGTCTCATGTTTGAAGATTTTTATTATGAAAGCTCAAGAAAATGAACAAACATGTTTGAAGATCTCAATCTAGGGACTCCTGCTATTTTAGATAAATCAAGTTGT